AGTGAAAATTGAAACACTGGTTTTCTTTTATTTGACTCTTAGAAATAATTTGGCATAGATACTTTTTAGCGTTCTCATTTTTATTTGCAGTTAATATAAAAAATATTCGCGTGTAAAAAAGTCCGTTTTTTTTATGAATTTTTTTAATCACAATAATATTTGATTTCCCTTGCCTTTTGATGATATTGAATATGGTACTATTGTTTTTTTACCGCTACATGCATATTGATGCAAGTTATGTTATTGAAAACATAATATTAAAAGAATGAAAAAAAAAATATTTTTATTCAATATCGTAACTACATTGACAGAATCCAGTTAACAATTTCTTTCAAGATATTCTTGTTATTGTTTTGTAAATAAATCCCTTTTTTGTTTTGTTCTAAGCTACATTGTCTTTCTTGATTACAACAGTAAAAATTTCTGAGCAGATTGACCGTATATAGCTAAAGTTATTTCTCATTTGATAGTCACGAATATTTAAATGTAGGGTGATACTTTATCTTTAATTTAGAAATTAACTATCAATGCAATCTTTATGTTTACAAAATAAAGATGAACAAGTTCTGTGTTTTAGAAAAATAACACAAAATTAATAAATATTTATTGCTTAAAAAATAAAGATCAATGAAGTTTTTATTTTCGAAAATAAAGATAAAATAAATAATAAAGAAAGATATTTTTATATGACAGGTAAATCGACAAATACCTAGTATAACAGGAGGATATGTTGATTAATCTTTATTCTTATCTGCAGCATGACTTCGACATGTAATATTATTAAAAAATTAAGCTGATACTTGAACAAAACTATGGAAAAAACTTTTCTATATATTTCATTACTATCTATGGAATCATAACTTTTTTTGAGCTACTTGGTAATAATTAAAGATTAGATTCTCATAGAAAAAAACGTCTTTATTATTTATTTTATCTTTATTTTATACATAAAGAGATTTTATTTCTCTTTATTTTTTAAATAATAAATATTTATTGATTTATTTTCCAAAAATAAAGAATTTATTCAGGTTTATTTTGTAAACAAAAAGATTTGTTTTATATTTATTCCTTATTATATAAATAAAAATAAAGTAACACGTCTATTTGAATGACGAAAATGTACATTTGAATAGAATGCGTTTTTTTCTAAACTGTACGAATTAAAAAAACTGTTGTAACACCTTTTCGACAAACGCCGCTTTTATTGATAAAAACGCGGTTTTGAAAAAAGTTTCAGCTCATCCAAAATAACGCGTTTAAACGTAAAAGTAGCGTTGTTTTTTAAAGACGTTGCGTTGAAATGCATATTTTTTCCGAATTATTTTTCATGGTCATACACAATAATAATTTAAATAATACAATCAGTTTAAGGAACAGAGATGTTAATTTAACTCTATCGCTATTATATACAAGATAGATTAAAACTTTCCATTTTTAGAACTTAAAAGCAATAGTAAATCAAAATCAGTAAAAAGTAATAGAGAACTTTCATCACAAATAAACAGATAGCCCTAATTATTAGAAAAAACGGCAACAAACGGATATTTATAAATTGATGAATATGTTTCATTTAGTACTTTAAAAAACTAAAAACAAACTCATGCTGCATGTTTGTTCGCACTACCGTCGATATACCGTGATATCCATCAGAGTTGTTAACAGACCACTCTCTTTTAGCCTGACTTGCATGACAATCCATGTCCACTGATGTTGCTGTTTTTTACAAGTTCACTAAGTTCTACAACCTGATTATAAAGCATCATTCTAATTTCAGTTACATACTTAATTTGTTTTCATAAAGATAGTATAAAGGCAAGTTCTTGAACAAAATAGTGAACTAAAACAAGCAGATAAATCATCAAAAATATTTTTCATACACAGATGTGAAGTGTGAATGTGACTGAGGGTGACAATGTACGAAGAAATGAGCCATATCCCCACATAATCGTATGTTTATGACGCAATTTTCAAGTTATACTAAAGAAAATATTATTACATCACTCACAGGTCAATAATTTTGGGCCTATCTGACCTATTAGCCATACCCAATACTATATCGATGAATCAGACAAAGTTAAAATTTCAAAATTCAGTCTAGCGTAGTGATCTGTCATGATGACAGCTGTCGTACCGATAAGAACCAGTGATATATTGGTAAGAAGTTGTCAATCAGAGAACAACTATTGGTATACGGTTGTAGAATGGTGATCAGAGAATAGCCGTCTATTGAAGCATCGAACTACTAATGGTATAGAGTACATTATACTAAGCAGATTATTGGTGGTTTTTGTCTGATCTAAATCACATGGAAAACTATTCGTCCCTATGATGATGCATGTGTCTTCACCATATGAAATTGCAATCGATGCGTAACACAAGTTATTAGCTGTCTTTTGCTTCATTGAGTTACACAATTAATCTTTAAATACATATAAAATTACTCGAGTACTCTGATGACTAATTTGAGTAGTCATGCTGATAAGTCATACTTGATAGACGAATATTCTCACCAGAGTGTGAATTCAATGGTTGGATTTTATTTGTTCAATTGATATTTCATTGAATCATAATACGGTGTATGATTAATATGAATGCATTTCATCGATTGATTATATATCTAACTAAGGAGCACCAGAGATCTTCGAAGTATTTGTTCTTGTAAGAAGTTTGTACGAATTCAAGGTGATTGAATACGAATTAAATTGATATGATGAAGTCAATAATGAATCCATTCAGTCTCTTCTTGATTAAATGAACTTGTTGCTTGCAACAGAAGATTGCGGTATTTTCCATGATGTCATATTTATATTCATAAGTTTAAATTTAAACGGTTTTTAAAAAAAAATTAAAAAGGTTTCGAATAACTGATAGCACAATCCCTGTGGGATTAAAATCTGAAACGCGATGTAACTGTTGTTGCTAATCACATGAAATTTCTTTTATTCGATCTATATTGGCATACATTTCTTCATCGTCGTTTATTTAATCGTCCAAAACTGTAATAAGGAAGTAGTTCGCATATTCTAATGACATATTAGTGATATCAGGTCTGTGATGTTCTTCGAAGGCCGTCTGTCACGATCTGTATGCGTAGAAGAGGAGGGATCCAACTTTTTACCGCCTATATACTTCAACAATCCTTTCAGATCGTGTTTCACAAAGGAGATTCTTAGGACTTTAAAAGATAGAAATCATATTAACCTTGATATTTTAAGATTTTCAGCTCAAAATCTTGAAAACTAAGTAGAGTTTGGTATAAATATATTACTTGAAATTCCCATTCGCTGAGAAATTAATCAGTTACGAGAGTATTCCATTACGCTCAGTGTATCGTCCTTCCGAGGAGGCCTACTATTTTTGGAAGAAGGATGATTTCATTATTTTTTCATCAATACTAAGCATATAAATAATAATATTTAAATCGAGTCAGGTTGTTAAAAATGCTAACATCTCGTTCTAAAAAATTTGTTAGCGCAATCCGTGTGGTATTAAAATGTGAAACACAATGTAGTCGCTGTTGCTGATCACGGAAACATTTCTTTTTTTTTTCTATTTTACGACACATTTCTTCAACATCATTTTACTTAATCCGCTAGAAATGCGATAAGAAAGTAGGTCATATATTATAATGAGAAATTATTGAAATACGGCCTGCGGTCGTATATCAACAAAGTCTATCATGGATTTTGACGCAGATGGCGGAGTGTTGCTAATATTTCTGTCACGTCTTCTGAGAGAACTGGGTTCAAAGTTCTACTCCTATACTTCAGCATTTCTTTTAGATTGTCTTTCACAAAACATCTACGATACTTTTGGTGTCAAAGTCAAGATGAAAACTTGATTTTTTCAGTTTTGATGTTTTTTGCTCTTTCGTATTTTTCAGAAGCAATACAAGATAGTTATTATGTATTGTTGGTATGGTCATATAGAGACCGCTACCAGTTACAATTGATGCTATCCGAAAGAGTAATAGCTATTAAGACATGTAAATAGTTATTCATACTATGTATAACTCTCACTTATCTCATCGTGATTTTTTTATTTTCCTGGTAAGCGTTTCATATAGTTTTACAGTTCTATAATATATTTACACACAGAAGCTACCGTTTGCCACTAGTGATTTATTTGATGATTCTGATGCGCTTAGTTATGAAAGAAATAAACATTAATTCTGACAATGATTGCGGCAATCCTGGCTTAGTAGTTTTCATTTTAATAGTAATTCCGGACGGAAGAAACAAAAACATTGAATACACATGCTCCTAAATACTGCGATATGCAAATTAAGGTTATCCTGTGTTAGAAGAGCCTGTAGATAGTAGAAAGAATGCGAAGCAAATATGCAGTGGTAGACGAAAAAGAAAGTCATCGAGACGAAGACGATGAGATCAGTATGGATGCATAATATAACATTGAATAATCTTTTTTTAAACAGAAACCTTTAGAATAACGCATCTCGATTTAATGACTGAAGCAGTTCTTAGTCACTTAAGATGCCACTTTTCAAGGTAGATCATTCATTTTCTGTATGAAATAAATAGATTTTAAAACTTCATAAAATTGATGACATACTTTTTTTTGCACATTTACTTTTGTTTTTTTTTCATCTATACAGCCAGTTTAATGATTTGCTAATATTATTATACTATTATATAGTTCACAGTATCTTCTAGCAAACATCCAAGCATGGTTGTAAAATAACAACAAATCATTGTAAGAAAAACGTTTAAAGAAATAACCTCTCATCCTCAGTTTGACGCCAAAATACTGCAGTTTTCTGGACTAATACATAGTTATGAGTTTCAACTATGATTACTAAAACTTATCTCGAAACAATGAAAAAGAATAACAAATAACTTTCGTTCACATTCGTTAATGATGGATAATTTTTTAAACAATAATTTGATCACCTATCATTTTCAAATGTGACTTTCTATTACCATTATTATAAAATGACATCCGATATTTGATATTTCAATAGGAGATAATTCTCTTTATAGATGGATAATATAACAATACCAGCACTTTTATTAAACGATACAAACAACACATGTCCTGCACCTCTTTTATGGACTAAAGATGTTGTTGAGGATGAACAAGCTGCGCTTGGCATTTGTATTACTGCTGCAGTTATTCATGCAATATTTTGGTTTCAATTAATTTTTTCATCAGCTATTCGACAACAATCAATGCAATGGATTTATGTTTATCTTCTTACTGACATTTTTCTTCTTCTTCGCTTTTGCTTTTCTTATACTATTCATACAACATCTACTGAATGTCAACCAAGCAGATCACGAATTTTATTTATCTGCTATTTTGAAGCAATACTTGATAATTATTTTA